GAGGTGCGTAGGAGCGCGGGCTACAGGACATGGTCAGGTCTGAGGGGCCCTAGCAATGGTGGGGCTGTGGGTCGGGGTTGAGAGGGAGGGGCCCAGCGAAGAGCGGGAAGGGTGGGGCTGGCGGGCGCCCAGTGGAGGAGGGGGAAGGGTGGGGCTGCGGGTCGGGGCTGGCGGGCGCCCAGCGGAGGAGGGGGAAGGGTGGGGGCTGCGGGTCGGGGCTGGCGGGCGCCCAGTGGAGGAGGGGGAAGGGTGGGGGCTGTGGGTCGGGGTTGGCGGGCGCCCAGCGGAGGAGGGGAGTGGTGGGGCAGAGAAGGGGAGTGTTGGGGCTGTGGGTCGGGGCTGAGGGGCCCCCAGCGGAGGAGGGGGAAGGGTGGGGCTGCGGGTTAGGGCTGGCGGGTGCCGCAGCGGAGGAGGGGAGTGGTGGGGCTGCAGGTCGTGGAGGAGGGGAGTGGTGGGGCTGCGGGTCGGGGCTGAGGAGGGGAGTGGTGGGGCTGAGGGGTGCCCAGTGGAGGAAGGGGGGGTGGTGCGTGTTGTCGTTACTCATGCTGAGTCTCCTCCCCCCCGCCCAGGCCGTGTGCTGCGAGGACCACGTCCATTGCTGCCCCAAGGGACACAAGTGCGACCCGGCGGGGGGCCGCTGCCAGCCGCCCGCTGCCCCCATTCCCTGGCTGGAGAAAACCCCAGCACGAGTGCGAGCGCCCTCTACTGGCCGAGACGTGAAGTGCGATGAGCAGACCAGCTGTCCTGACGGCAACACCTGCTGCCGGCTGTCCACAGGGGCCTGGGGCTGCTGCCCCCTGGTGGAGGTGCGTAGGAGCGCGGGCTACAGGACATGGTCAGGTCTGAGGGGTCCTAGCGATGGTGGGGGTGCGAGTCGCGGCTGGCGGGCGCCCAGTGGAGGAGGGGAGTGGTGGGGCTGCGGGTTGGGGTTGGCGAGCACCCAGCGGAGGAGGGGAGTGGTGGGGCTGCGGGTCGGGGTTGAGGAGCACCCAGCGGAGGAGGGGGAAGGGTGGGGCTGCGGGTCGGGGTTGGGGAGCACCCAGCGGAGGAG